GTTAGCCCTCTATATATAGTTTTGCTTTTTGTGTTATTCTCTGAATATTTGATTGCAGATTTGCAGCAGATCTAATTGGATATTTTTCAGGCGAGGGAGTGAGTTGACTTGATCTCCAAGGTCAGGTTGTTTTTTGTATAGGTCTTGGCAAGTGAGAATGTTGGTATTTTATTTAGTTTTCTGTCTCTAACAATTTTAGTTTATTAATCTCTTGTAACTTTCTGTCCAGTTTGTTCTTAAAAAAAATGTTAGAATTAATTTAGATCTTGAAAACAAATAAATATAAAAACTAGAATGTAAATATTGTGAGTGTTAAAACCATATGCTAGCCAATCAGGTCATCCTTGTGTTATTTTATTATCGGCAAACCAAATCGTGATATTAAGCTGCTCGCTCAGTTATTTCCCCCTTCATATTAATTTCAAATAAAATAGAATTAAAAGACATTTTTACCTCTTATTAATTTCCCGAGTTCCGATGCATTTTTGGATTCCGGTATGCCTGGCATTTATCTTCCAATAAAAATCAACAAGAGGGGGGGGGGGGGGAAAAGTGGAAAGTCGCACTAAAATCCCAAACAGAGAATACAATAGAAAAGTTCCATCAGAGTTGCAAATTAATTAGAAGTTCCGAAGGACCTGTGCAAGAGATTCCATAAATATTGTGGAAGTTGTTAATATAGTTAGTCTAGTTGTTAACAACAACAACAAGTAGTTTTATCTTACTAAGTAGAGTCGGCTGCATGAATCATACTATGTCATTGTATTTTGTTAACAATTCAGTCTTTAGATATGTTGTTGATCAGGAGGTCTCCTTCAATAATCTCGTTGAGCGTTCTTCTTGGTCTTTCTCTATCCCTTTTTATGAGACTCCATATTATCTGGTCTACCCTTCTTATTGGGACCTCCAATGGCCTTCTTTGCACATGTTCAAACTATCTTAAGCGATTTTTAACCATTTTCTCTTGGATAGGTGTCACATCGATTCTTGCTATAATATTTTCATTTATAATATTATCTTTTCTTGTATGACCACACATCTATCTCAACATTCTCATTTCTACTATCCCAACTTTGTGCTCTTGTTTTCCCTTTATCACCCAACATTTACTACCGTACAACAGAGCTGGTCCTATAGCAGTCTGATAAAATTTTTCCTTAAGTTTCTCAGGTACCTTCTTATCGCAAATAACTCCGGTAGCTTTCTTCCATTTTAACCAGCCAGCTTGTATTCTATGAGAAACGTCTCCATCAATTTTCCCATCTTTATGTATAATGGATCATAGGTATTTAAACTTTGATACTTGATGAATGATTTGTTCCCCCATCTTCACCTCCAAATCACCATTATCTTGCCTCTTCTCAAAATTACAATGCATATATTTTGTTTTGTTCCTACGCAAGCGAAAATCTTTCAACTCCAAAATCCTTCTCCATAACTCCAGTCTAGAGTTAATTTGTTCTTTTGATTCCGCCATGAGAACCATGTCATCCTCGCAGAGCATGGACTTGGGGATTCTTTCTTAAATAAGTTTAATTAGAATGTCCAAAACAATATTAAACAAGTAAGGACTCAAAGGAGATCCCTGATGTAGGCCAATCGTAATAGGAAAGTTCTTTGTCTCACCTCCAAACGTTCTTACACTAGCAATTACCCCCTCATACACATCTTGTATGACTTTGATATAAGTAACCCGTACACTTTTCTTTTCCAAAACCTTCCACAGTACGTTTCTTGGCATACAATCTTAAACTTTTTTCAGGTCAATAAAAACCATATGTAAATCCCTTCTCTTACTTATGTATATTTCCATTAACCTTTTTAGTAAATCGATTGCTTCAGTTGTTAATAATAACAATCAAATATAAATTGTATATGTAATATCAAACCAGAATCGACAAAGAATAACCATCCTGCTTGACCTGAACAATGTTTGTTTTTAATAACTTTTTTATAAAACTACTTCCTGGCCTTTTTGAGATCTCCCAGTGCAAAAAAAATTAGAAAAATTAATTCATTTAATTTTTAACTCAGTTTTAATTCAGTCCTTAATTATAAATTGGTAGAAGAGAAATGGCCGTGTTGGTCATTAGCATTGTACTTTCTCATTCCCTCCATTTTCATTTAGTTATTGTGATCCAATTAGGTTATACTTTACATATCTAAATACGTAACTATATATTCTTCCGGTCCTAAATATAAGACCTTTATATATTATATAAAAGTTTTATATTTAAGACTGGAGGAGTATATATGAGTGTGTGTGTTAAGATTTGATTACCCCCAAGCTCCTCTATTTTGAGTCTCGTTTTTCCTTAGATTGGATTCGGACTGTGCCTTGGCTGCTGGAAATCCGCTTCCTTCTATTCTATTTAATAATGTTGAACGGTGGCTGAAGATACCTTTCTTCTCTGGTTTCCCAAAAAAAAATTTCTAGTTTCAGACGTCAATGTTCTTTGGTCATTTGTGCTTGTGTGATTCCTACCTTTTTGTTGTTTTTGCTTCTCTCAAAAGAGGTAGAACAAACTAGAAGCAAAGCAAACAAGAACAAATAATGATAAAAAACAAAAAAACCCAACCTAATCACTTTGTCCTAAAAAACTTGAGTAGCTTTGTCCCAAAAGTTTACATGGCCTAAGTATCAACAAGTAAGCTGGCTTAATTATCCAGCCAAAAAAAAAAAAACACAAAAGAGTTCAGTCACTTGAAAAGGATGGGCTCCGTTGCTCCAGCACCGCTAGCATCCTCGTTCTCTAGCCGCGCGAAAGCAATCACACTGTCAACCCCAAATGCAAATGCCGGTTTAGTGCTTGTTTAGAATAGCAGTAGGATTTTTAAAAGCAACATTTCAATTATGATTTATGGAATATGAAATAAACATATGAAAGGAATTTTATTTTCATTTATATGAACGCGCTTATAATTACTTAATATAAATAGTTTATATGTAAAAGTGCCTATAATCACTTAATATAAGCAGCCTATTGTGTCATCAAAAGTTCAATATCTTGATCATTGCGGCCAACTTCATTCATCTTGCAGATTCCACTGCTTGTATTTGTTATAACAATGGTGCTTTTAGAGTTGACAATTATCTAGTTATTTGGAGTTGCTTAATACTCCTCCGGTCCTTATTATAAGACCCAATTTGACTTTTTATTTGGTCCTAATTATAAGACCCAATCCATTTTCTCTCTTTATTTATGTATTTTTTTTCCAAGATAATCCTTCTAATAATGATAGTTTTAGCTAATATACTTAATTAGCAAGGATATTTTAGGAATAACAACACTTATTTATTATAAATAACCAACTTAACTTACTTCCTTAATCTCCTCAAATAAGTCAATTGGGTCTTATAATTAGGACCGGAGGAGTATGAACTTATAAACACATTCACGTAAGTTGATATGAAACTCCTTATACTCCTCCGATCTTTAATATAGGACCTAATTCTTGAGTTGGTTTTGGTCTTAAATATAAGACTCATTTTTCATATTTATCAGTTTTCTTTAAATTACCCTTATGGATACTCCTTCAACTATAATCAAGTATAAGAGGGAGATGGAGTATTAAGAAAGATGATTATTGTGTTTTAGGAAAAATATGTCACTTTTCTTATAATTAACTAACTTACCTAACTTTCTTAATCTAATCAAATTAATTAAATAAGTCTTATATTAAGGACTGTATGAGTATATTTATCTTGTATTCCGTAAATTTAAAAGTAGCATGCTTTGTATACCGGGGCCAGCCTTCTCAAAATGATCAAAGAAGACAACTAGACACAACCCGCACCCGGTGGCCAAACTTAAGAGATACACCTAAGTTTATCACTGGAGTAACTATCCACAAAATCATTCATATCGAGTTTGAAGATTGCTTCCTTGGGGACATTGCGGTGGGCCGAGAGCACTTTGCAGCCGCATTCTCACCGTAGAAAATGAAACTGGCATAATTGCCATCTTTGATGAGGGACAAATCCGACATTTTCTATTACAATGTCTTATCTCATTTCATCTTTCTTTCTTCTTTTTAAAGTCTCCAACCAAACAAATTCTTCAGCTTAATCTTTTTCTTTTGTAGTTTGTACCAAACATAAATTGTTGTACTGTACCTGAAATTTATAATAGGTTTTATATTTTATATTGGTACTTGTTCAAAAGAAAAATTAGGAATCTGATGTTTTCTCTTAATTAATTGGTAGTTGAAATAACTTTTATTATTCATAATTTATTCATAATTTATTTTACTGTAAGATTTAATGAAAAATATATAATTTTGTATAAAGTAAGAAATGTCACATTTCATTACTTAAAAAAATGAAAATTCATAAATAAAAATTTACTGACAAGTTGTACCGCAACAATAAGTCCAAATTTAATTTGTTGCTGCAGATTATTAAAATGATGTTTGGTTCAATTTATTTGAAGTAATATCGCACGGTAGAAAAGATATATGTGGCCAATGAATTTTGCAGCCTAATAAAAAATTATGAGTTGAGCCCTGTTTTTAACATCAATTGTTAATGTCTGCGTTTCTAATTCAACATACACACATGCACAAGGGGCTCGTTTGAAGCTGCTTGTGTTAAATACTTGTAAACATGTTTTTGTTAATCAACTTTATATGTTTATTTCATATTTCATAAATTACGATTTTAAAAATAAAAGTCTTTCAAATCTTATAGCCGTTCCAACTAGTGATTCACGGCAATGACCAGTAATTAAAAATTAACGAGACATGCCCTGGTTTCAAAGAAGCAGTTTAACTGTCAAGAGTCCAATCCCCCAACTATTTTATCCAGGAATGCGAATCTTCTGAAATTATGCGATCCAAAGAGGGATGAAGAAGATTTTTAAACGTAAAATTTATAGACCTCGAGGGCCTCGCGCTCAATCTCAGCTTGGAGAATTGAGAGGAAAATACTAATTACACGAATACACAGGCAATTGGCCAAAACTCAAAATATCACTGTTCCTAAAGCGACTGGTAGCTGGGAAAAAGAAACCTTCCCCCCTGAGATTCTATTGCTTCAGTTGTTAATTCACTGTATGGGTAGCTCAAAGTTTCTATTTTTCATTGATTAACTGGACCACAAAACTGTTCTCTTATCAGTTCCTAATTTCATGCGACTCTGTTTTAACTTCCCAAGCTTCTTCACAAGTTTCCCGGCAGGATGGCACCTAACATGTTCTTCGTTTCCTTACTTCTTCTATTGATTCCAACAAGTGTTTCTCTTCGACTTAATGGAGAAGAAGGTTTCATCTCAGGGGCCATATCTGAAAAGGGTCTTGATTACGCCAAAGATTTGCTCATCCGCGAAGCTATGTCATCTCTTGTTGCACTTCAACTGCCTCAAATCGAGAAGTCTGCCAGAGTCAGGCTCGTTGGTAAATGTAAAATAGTTCTTTCCAATATTACTTTTGTTGATGTCAACATAACTTCTTCATATGTTAAGACTGGAGAGAGGGGAATAGTTCTAATCGCTTCAGGCGGCACAGCTAATTTGAGTATGAACTGGAGTTATTCTTGTAGCACTTGGTTATTGCCTGTTTCTGTTTCTGATAGTGGGAACGCCTTTGTGAAGGTAAAAAGTTATTTTGTGACGCTTGTTGAAAATCAAAGCTACATATATTAATTATGTTTAGCCTTACCTCTCTCTGTACTGTTGCAGAGGTTTCATATCTGACTTACCATTTATAGTGTATTGGGCTTGAACTCAGCAGCTTAGGCCTAGAAGAAATGGCAAATATTTTGCAAAAGTTGATTATATGGAGAAATATAAAGCAACTTCAAATGTTTCAGCCGTTTCATATATAAAAAGATGTGCATTTCAAACCGTAGCTACATAGCACATGAATTCAAGATGAGTTCTGTTCAAATATAACTAGACCTCTTACGCCGTCCTACAATAAATTGATAAAGGGGGTAACAAAAACAGTTGTGGTTCCTAGGCAAACCATAAAACTCATGTATGCCAGTATCTGATTGGCAAAATCTTGTGGACAGCAGCATTTTTGGTGCACATGTGCTTTATTTTCAGCTTTTCAGGTAAAATTGAAAATATATCTCTCTAAATTGTGCTATGCGTTGAAGGTTAAAGGCATGCAAGTGGGCCTGACTATAAATTTCGAGAACCAAGAAGGTAGTCTGAAGCTGATTCTCCTAGATCATGGATGTTACGTAGAAGACTTGCTCATAAAATTGAAAGGTGGAGCATCTTGGCTTTACCAAAGGTAAGCAGTCTTCTTAAGCCGTGTCTTTTTATGAATGAAGAATGTTAACATGTTCTTTCTTGGAGAATTTTACTTCTTTTGTTGTTGGAAATTGTGTTTCCCATATTATTATTGTGAAATATGTGTTTGCTAATTTATTATATTGGTAAATGCAGAGCTATATTTGCTAGATACATGTCAATTGACTTCTCAATCAAATGAAACAGGATAATAAATGGCACAAAATTGAAGGAGCTCCGCATTGGTCTAAAGCATACAACAGAATATCCATATGTTGACAAAAGCTTAATTGAAGTGTGGATTTCTTCTGTTACTATAAGCATATTGTCTCCATTAATTGCCTCCACCAGCCTCTTTCAAGTAGTTTGCTTTTATTTGATAAGTTTTTCCTTTCAGACAATGTTCACAAAATACTATGATTTTCCTTCTATGCCAGTATGAATATGGTTCACATGCTGCTCTCAGTATCATCAAAAAGATGAAGATGACATGCTATTAATTTCTTTATGTTCGTTCCAGGATAGTGGATCTTTTTGAAGGGAAAATAGCATCTGCAGTTGAAGATGCCATTTCTGGTAAAATAAGAGAAGGGATATTGAAGCTTAGCAGTTCATTGCAGTCCCTACCAAAAGAAATCTCCCTGGGCGAAACCGCTGTACTAAATGTTTCTTTCGTGAACAATCCTGTGTTGACTAATTCTTCCATTGAGTTTGAAATCAATGGTCTATTCACAGGGAAAAAGGAAATTTTAGTTCCTCAATGTTTCCACAGAGAACCAGAGACTTCTTTTCGCTGTGGTGGTTTGTCTAAGATGATCAAGATTTCATTGCATGAAGATGTGCTAAATTCTGCTTCCTTGGTTTACTTCAATGTAAGTTTCAGAAAGTTTCTATTTTCACACTTTCATGTCCTAGTCCAATTATTTCAGTGTTTTGTTTCTCATGAAGGTCAGTCGCGAAAGCTTCAGACATTGTTTAGGAGTCCTACAGAGTGGGTGGGTGGAGTTCTCATTCCTTTGTTTGGAAACCCATCCTAATCCATCTCACCCTATTACTTCTTAGGGTCCAAACAGCTGTTTGGATAATTTCCCACCCCAACCTCCTAAACAAGCCCTTAAGGAGCGTTTGGAAGTTTAGAATGTAATGGAATGGCATTAAGTGGCAGATCATGTTGCCTTCCATTGGTTTGGACTTGAGCATAATTCCATAGCTCTTATTGCTTTGTTGTTGTTGAAATCAACCTTGGATTTTCGAACTTCCCCATAATATCTATTCGAGTTCTTTATAGCAGCAACAGCAGCAAGAATAGAGCCAATCTGTTGTTAGACTAGTTAAATGATTCCAATTAATCGACTCACATTTATGGTGGATGCTTCTACATTATTATGGACTGAATTATAGTTTGATAGTTAGCTGATGGTATTGTTACCCACAGGCTGGTTACATGCAATGGATGGTTGATAAACTACCAGATCAGGCCCTTCTGAACACAGCTGCATGGAGATTCATAGTTCCTCAACTATACAAGAAATATCCAAATAAAGACATGGAGCTTAATATCTCAGTATCATCTCCACCAATTATACAAGTGACCAGCCAAGATATTGGCGCTACCATTCATGTAGATATAATAGTTGATGTTGAGGATGCTGGGGAAGTTGCTTGTATTTCAGTGGTATGCTTGAATGAAGTGTTAGAAATACCTCAACTGAAAAAATTTAATAAAGTGAAGACTGTTGAATAATTGTACCATAATATATACCACACTGTTACCCATGAAACCCATTGGTCTTGAAGTGCAGACGATGATCAGATCTACTAGGCCTTGTTTTGAAAATGAAAATTATAATTAGAGCGAAGGCTCGAGAACAATATCTGCTATGAATTGAAATTCAAAAGTGGGAGCTAAGATGCTTAACTAGAATGTCAAAGTTATGGGATGCTTGTGCTCTCAAAGAAGCTATATTACATTGATGCTTTTCACTTTTGATTCCATATTCTTAAATGCATGCCTACTTTATAGTCTTTATACTGAATTTTCAAAACTGCTCGTGTTCTTTTCCATCTCTGAATGTCTAGGATTCTATTTTTCACATAAAATTATTTCTTTCGGTAGTTAAAAGTTTATATAATGAATATATTATTGCTATAATCGAGGTGTTCTCAGTTTACATGTTTTTGCTTATTGATACAGGACATTAGTGCTTCATGTTCTGCAGAAATCCTCCGAAACGACATTGCTGGAAGTCTCAGATTGAATGGTTTTTCCACATACTTAAAATGGAGCAAGATTGGTCCTTTGCGCATGCATCTGATCCAGGTAAATCTGAATAAATGTCATCTTCATTTTTTTAGCATCTTTTCAGTTTACATCTTCGTATTTATATGGAAAACAAGGTGAACTTGAACTTTAAACAATTGATGACTATTGCAGCGTGGTATAACATTGTCTACTATTCACAACGTCTGTTAAGTAGATGGCTCGTGCTAGCTTAACTTGTCAAGTGCCCATACCCTTTCATGTTTACAAATCAATTGATTTATGCTTCCACATATTTTGAAATACATGATCATTGATTGTAACTCCTCTGATCCTAAATATAAGAGTCAGTTAGGGGTTGGTTCTAGTCATAAATAAATAAAAGACCTCCATTTACTTTATCTCTTGTATTTATCATTTTCTCCCAAACTAATTTACATAACTTATATATTGACATATAATCTAATATTACACAAGGGTATTTTAGGGAGATCATGTCACACTTCTTCAATCTATTCAAATTAGTTGAGTTCAGGCCAAAAAAAAAAAACATTAGTTGAGTAAGTTTTATATTAGAGACATGAGGAATATACTTTCAGGCAGATAGTTATCAACTTGACTTCAATTCTCTTGAATGTATGCAGTTAGCAGTATCAACCATACTCAGAACCACCGTCTTGCCATTAGTGAACTGGCTATTAAGCGGAGGAATTCCATTGCCTTACCTCCATGGTTTTACACTCCAGAATGCTCATACCTTCTACAATGCTCCATGGATTACAGTATGTAGTGATGTTTCCTTCTTAAGACACTACTATCTCAGTTAGCTGCCAGTTTATGTATTATAAAACATCCCAGTGGGCCATATGTAATTTGTGTTGTATCATTGTTCTCATTGTAGAGATAGAAATCATGTACATAAAACATTTTCAATGCAGAATCAACTAAAATTTCAGGGGAAATGCATGAGCTAAAATTGTTTCGAATTTACTTCTCTTTAAGTTGTCAGCTTGGGTTTGCCAAAAGTGATGCGTAGTGAAAATAGAAGACGCCACTAAATGTCTTGACTTACCAAATAAAGTTTTGAACATTAAACTGCATGGGGTAATTTTTAGGATGGACGTATTAATTTGTGCGAGAAAGTTTTACTACCACTGGCTACTAGAAAGTTTTTTTGTACAGATTTGTACAAAAAATCTAAAATTGTAACAATGATTCCTGTTATTATTTAAAAAAAAAATTAAGGTTGATTGTTAAAATAGTAATGTTGATTGTCAATTTTTTTAATAGCGGGGAGTAACTTTTTACAATTTTAAACTTTGGGAAAAAACATGCACAAAAAAAAAGTCATGACCGCATTTACCTTTAATTTTATTTTTCAATTACAAATAGGGTGTTTAACTGTGTCCCATCCTATTGTTTCGTTTCTATTCTAATTATTTTGACACGAGACAGCCTTGTCTTGAAAGCAAAATTGTTTCAGGACATGAGTGTCCTGTCCTAGTCTCATCCTAATATATTATCTATGTTTTTAATTTTTATAAGTTTATTTTATTTATTATTGTAATAATATTTTGGTAATGATATTTATCAATTGTTATTTTGATTATTTGTTTATAAGTTGTTTTTTTATGGGTTACATGATGCCTTTTTTATTAAACATTTTAAGTTTTTTTTGTATCTCTTGATGACAAAAAAACAATTTTTCCCCGTCATTTTCTTATTTTTATCTATTTTCTTATATTTTATATATAGTTAATTTTTTGTTTAAAAGATAAAAAAATCCAAAAAAGGACGGAACGTTTCTGTTTCATCCTAATCAAGAGGGAACACTATTGAAATGGGTCTGTTTCGTCTCATTAACACCCTTAGTTTTTTTTTTTTTTTGCTCCATGGACACCCCTAGTTATAGGGAATATTTTGGTTTTTTAACCATGTTCAAAAATCTCTAATTAAGCATCATTGCCTGATAAAAAATTTGTTAAAACTATAGCTTTAAATTAAAATTTTGGCAGGCATTCTGTCAATTTTTATTACTCTTCAAATTAAACGTTATAATGGACCATCACATGCTCTTCAGTCTTCGGATTGCCCAGGGAAGTCTCGGGGAGGCAAAACGAATTTGCAGCATCAGTGAGACCCCATGATCATTGTTTACGGCGTCACATTACGCTTGGCCTTGTTTCCTTCAATTTGTTTATTAAATTTAATTTCTTTCTTGGAAAACTAATTTCTCAATGCAAAAACTACATTTACAGGCTAGATTATATAAAACCCCTTGAATTTTACGTCAATCGCACACAACAATATTTTAAAATTTCAATCTAAGCTCCTAACCTCTTACTTTTTCATCGTGAACCTTTTGTGGTTAAGACAATGCTACTGTTCTTTTTCAGAAATTATCATATCTGATTAATGGAGGCATTCTACATGACATCATACGTAATTTATAAATTCCTTTAAATTTTAGAGCACGCAACTAGTTTAAAAATCACAGATTTTTTATAACTTTATTAAAACATACATAGGACGCCATTTAAGTTGCCTATGTCTCCTCTTGATATGATGTGACAATATTTGTCAAAAAAAAAAAATAGTACCTTAATGGCAAGGAGTTCATGATAAAAAAAATTAAAAATAAAATATTCTAAAATTTCTCATATTTTTCTTTTATTACAAAAATTTTTCTTTTATTTTAAAAATATGTACTTAAATTCAAACTGTTAGTTTATTTCAAATTATTCTAAAAAGATATTTTTTAATTAAAATTTATATTTGAATACTTTTTATTTACTAATTTATCCTTCAGCATATTATATCTTTGATTTTGATTGAATCTTTTTGAAGAATTTAGGTTTTTCTTCTTCTTCACAATTTTATTTTTATTTTTTTAACAGTGGTTTGTTTAATACTTTTATCAAATTGGGACAGAAACTTAAGTACTTAATTAATGTAAACAAAAAAAATGAATGACCTTTTGATTAATTTTTTAAATAAATATATAATTATTGGTTGAAAAAATATATAATTGACTAACTATGTTTCTAAATGTTTCGATCAATACACTCGTTAGCCACTTAAATTTGCACTCATTTTGGATTCGGTCCCTAAAATTTCAAGCCAAAGGTTTTTGGTCTCTCAAGAGACAAAATGATTTGAGTTTATTAAGGCAGTTTTATCTGCTCTTGCCTCCTATTATATGCAGACAATCCTCTTGCCAAAGCAGTTGATAAAAGTCTTGGAAAAGACCATGATTTGAACTTTTTTAGTCGTCTTGGGTTAAATAAAAAATAAAACCAAATTATGCAGTAAAGCACAACTCGGGTCATGTCTCTTGAGGAGCTTTTTATTAATTTTTAAGTTAACTAAGTGACAAAGAACTAAAAGAAGGGATTTGGAAGATGATTTTTCAATCAATAAAACTAATTATGAAAATAAGAAATAAATCTAAACTATTGTTTTTTGGTTTTTTTTAATAAAGAAAGAATGGAAAATGCAAATTTGGGTTTTAGAAAATCAGTAATGAGAAGGCTTCTTGAAAATGGAATATAGCTATCCTTGCTTAATAAAGATGTGAGAGTAAAATAATACACCAAGTTAAGAGAAACAACCCCAAACACGGTTTGGGTCAAGTAAACTCAACACTTAACCACTCTAAACGCTAGATAGTAATCAAGTTATTAAGCCACTTTTAAAAATCATTTGATGTACAATTTAGATTGAGTTAATAAAACTTGTTTTCCTCTCAAAGAATGCTCACGGAGACACTCAATTGAAATACATCTCAATCATAAAATCTAACAACGCGCCAGATAAAATAATTTTAATGAGTGCAAAGGAAATATATATATGAATTCAAATCCCAAGTAATACAACTCAAATTAAATCGCAAAAATCCAATTAACAGAAATTATAATGCATAATCTCAGTCTCCAAATCAAATGAAAACATTCCTAACATAGGAAAAATTTAATGAAGGTCAGAAGAAAATTAATTAGAAAACTAAATACTCCCCTAGTTGAAGCTCCAAACTCAAGCTACTCCTCCATCTTCAAGAAGCACAAGGAAATTAGCCTCTTATAGCTCTAGAAGAATCCACAATATATTTTAAGCAATGAGAATCCATGAGGCCGTGGGAGAAGGATGAATGTGAGGATTGGCCGTAGAAGGAAATTGAGTTGCGGCGGTGTACGAAGGTAGCGTATGAGTGTGGTGTAAGTATGGCTCCGTGGTTTTTCTAAGTGTGCGTCCTCATATAATATATATATATATAATATATATATATATATAGGGAGTTGGCGTGTCGTATGTGGCCTCCATATCTTGCAACTGATAGATTTAATATATATCTAAATATCTTCCCAAAATCCGTGCTTCCCATCTCTTGCATCTTGTTCCTTTTTTTTTTTTTTAAATTCTTTTCTTTTGTTTCAGCTTTTCTTTTATGTTTGTTTCCTTTTCTCAGGCTTGCAAAAGATGAATTAAGATACTATCATATAATCCAAAATCAATTATTTAAAAAGAGATAAAAATATGATAAGATTTTCTATTAAATCTCTAATTTCATGCAATCAGTATTTGATTCAAAATACCCATAATTAATGTAATTTATCTCACTTTAATTGATAAATATCTCCAAAAAGATATCAAATAAGATATTAAAATCAGGATTATCAGACCAGCAGGAGCTTCATATGGGATGAAAGAGATAGTAACCGAAAGGTCACTTAATGGCATGGGATCAGGTGACTTAAGAGAAGAAATCTGGAGGTTTAGGAATCAAGAAGTTACGAAAGCAAAATGAAGCTTTTCTCCTGAAGCTCTGTTGGAACCTTGTGGTAGACAGAGAGGCTCTTTGGGTGAAAGTCTTGAGAAGTAAATACAATTGTGGTACCATGGAGTTGCCACTACTAAAGAAACCCCATAATTGTTCCCTCACTTGGAAGGGTATTTGTGAAGTTTGGAGTCATTTTAAGAACGGTGTGGCAAAAAAAATTGGGGTTCAAAACAATATTTTCTTTTGGTATGAGAATTGGTCAAAGATACATAAACTGCTGATTGACTTGGTACCGGACTTGGAGTGTAAGATTGATAAGGATGAGAAAGTTAGTGATTATGTGACCCCTTGGGGGAAATGGGATAGACAAAAGATGTGCCATTAGTTTCCTCACCATGTTGTTGATCAAATTGTTGTTGCACATCCACCTTGTGAGGAGAGAGGAGAGGATAAAATGTTTTTGAGACCATCCACTGATGGTTGTTTTTCTATTTAATTTGCATATCTTTTTTTACTTGCAGGTACTCATCAACAGGAGGATAGCATTTGGAAGATGTTAACACCTTCATGTGGCTCTTTACTCATTGACGAACACATAAAACTAATTTTAGAGCTAGATGAGGACTCATGGAAGTTGCAACATGTCTGTTTGGATGCGAGGACATGAAAGATTCAATGCACCTGATTAGGGATTGCACCAATGCTCACTGACGATAGGAATCAATAGTTTTAGCAGAATTTAGGCCAACCTTCTGTGCAAAACAGGGGGTGGACCGGGTCAAATGGAATTTAAGCAAGTAGGCTGGTCAACCTTTTACTAAAAAGATCCAGTGGGTAGTGTTGTTTGGATACATTTGCTGGGATATATGGGTGTCGCGTTGTAATAAATTGTTTGGTTCTAGAGATGACTCGAGTAGTAGCAGTGCTATTGATAACTTCTTTAGATCCTATTGGGATAAAGAGTTAATCTCCTTGTGTAACTTCTATACTAGCTTCCAATGTAATAGGGGAAGTAGTAATGGTACTTAGGGGGAGTATGTTAAGTTTGAAGTGTAAGGTTCTGTTCCACCAGATTAAAAGAGTGGTTGTAGGGGAGCACTATAGGATAAAGAAGGATGGTGGATTCTAGGTTTTAGTTGTAAATTGACTTCTGTTCCTTCAGCAATTACAGAGGTGATCAGATTTATACACTCTCTCAAGTTGTGCTGG